CCATTCCATTCCATTCCATTCCATTCCATTCCATTCCATTCCGCTCCATTCCATTCCATTCCATTCCATTCCATTCCATTCCATTCCATTCCATTCCATTCCATTCCATTCCATTCCATTCCATTCCGTTCCGTTCCATTCCATTCCATTCCATTCCATTCCATTCCATTCCATTCCATTCCATTCCATTCCATTCCATTCCATTCCATTCCATTGTAGTTTGTGCGACAAGTAAGCCCGCGCAACAATCGACCGGTACATACTAATATGAGTGTGCAGCATAGCGTATCATATCCAGATTATCCAGATTTAGCAGAAGAGTCACCGACCGGATGCCCAGATTCATTTGGTTTGAAGTGGCGTGAAGAGTTGTGATTCGCAGTTGCTGTAGCTTCCCCAGAATTCCACATCATGTTTTTTTTAATTCGAGGATAAGTTGGATAATGCACAGTCACGGCCTAACGAGATTCCAGCCGCAAGCCACTATGAAAAAACATACTTGCCATAGGTCTACTCTTATCTTTTTTGGGTGTGTCTTCGTTTTGTGCTTATTTCGGTTGTTCTTGTGATGTGTTTCGCATGTTTTTTGTTGCTGTTTTTTCTGCTGTCGTCTGTGCCAGGTTTTATGTTGGCTGATCTCTTTTTGCCTCAGATGTTAGATCGTCTAGCAGTATGGCGATGATTTCAGTCTGTTGTGGACGGATGGCACATTTGTGCTTCGACGGCTTGTTGCCATGTGAGAAGTCCTAAAGCATGAGCGGGTGGCAAACCGTGGATCTTGACAGCTTGGGCCGGGAAGCTGAAGACACCTCGTCCCGGAACTAATCTGCACAACATCCAGAAACGCTGAGAAGACCGATTCCATTTAACCGGGACGGGGTTCTGTCGCGTTTGGGGCCTGGGAACCGCGGCTTCCCGTCTCAGTTCCTTTCACACTTTGCTGGCATGAACCGAGCCATCCCATCTCATCTGTAGAATATTGCTACCAGGTTTTCAGCAGCCTCGTCAATACTAAGGCTACATGGATTTCGCGGGCAGCGCCATCGTGCACTTGACGGGCGGCGTGAGCGCTCTGGCAGGCACTGTCGTGCTCGGCCCGCGCAAGGGTCGCTTCGAGAACCCGGAGGAGTTCGAGTGCCACAACTTGCCCCTGGTGGTGCTGGGCACCTTTGCACTTTGGTTCGGATGGTATGGCTTCAACCCGGGTTCCACTCTGGGCATGCACACGGGAGACACCGGGGCGATGGCAGCACAAGTGGCCATGAACACCACCTTGTCTGCGGCCACCGGCGGCATCACAGTCTTCATTCTGAGATATGCCATCATGAGGAAGTACGACGTGGGTGGCCTCTGCAATGGTATTCTGGCAGGCCTTGTGTCCATCACAGCCGGATGCGGCAACGTGGAGTGCGGCAGCGCCTTCGCCATTGGACTGATTGGTGCCTTTGTGTACCAGGGCTCGTCCATGCTCTTGCAGAAGCTGAAGATCGACGACCCCGTGGATGCCAGCCCAGTGCACGGCTTCTGTGGCATCTGGGGTGCGCTGGCTGCCGGACTCTTTGACTGGGGCAAGGGTGTTGACCACTACCATGGCTGGTCTGGCTTTGGTTGCAAGCCAGTGAGCGACACCGACTCGTCGTGCATGACCGGCATCGGTGGCACCGCCATTGCTGCACAGCTCATCATGGTCCTCGTGATCATCGGTTGGGCTGGAACTTTGTCGGGTCTGGCTTTCTTCATCCTGAAGAAGACCGGACTGCTGCGCATCGACGAGTACACGGAAGAAGTCGGAATGGACGTCAAACAGCACTCGCCACCGAAAGCCTACGCAATCGGGGCTCCGGCCGCCGCCAACTCGCCCGGGCCCAGTGTGTGAAGTGCACACGCGGCCTGCAGATGATGTGAAACTTTCTTTGCATTCCTTGCCACGGGACGGTTCAAAGCCGCATCCCAATTTGGGGAGTGGAGCTCCTTGCATGTAAGATTAAGATGGTGGTCCAGCATTCCCTGCTTTTTTGCTTGTCGGTTCTCGTGTTCTAGTGAGCAAGGGGTGTTCAAAGCCAAGCTGGGGTCGGATGCTAGCGGCGGACGCAGGGACGGCGTGACACCATCATTGGTATGCGACCAGCTCGGCAATGCAGCTCTCTGCATTTTTCTTTACACTCCAAAGTTGTTACCAGTAGTTTGCATCTCAAGATCTGTTTCTCAAGAGCTGTATCCAGGATACCAATGTGTGACCTTCCGAATGTACTCACGGAGAAAACATGCCAGAGGTGCAATGACTCTCTTCTGGCTCTTCGACTCGCCTTGGAGTTACTGACGTTGGGACACGCACCGATACGACCCAATGAGCAGACTCTGCCCACGAATTCTCGCACTGATACGAAAAAGGATCGGCAGCCAGTCTTTACCTCTGCCCTACTCCCTCCCCTCTCTCTGTTTTTGCTTGTGGAGAAAGGGGGCGGGTGCCGCACAAGACCGTCGTGGCCCTAGCCTGGGGCTCAAAGAACAGAATCCATCAACCATCCCCTGAAGACCCCCAGCAAAGCAAGCATTGCCTTCCTCACCCCTGGAACACCGCTTCGAGCCCCTCTCAGCCCCTCGATGGCCGATGCCACCTTGAAGGCCCCTTACTCGCATCTCGCTTGCTCTCTGCGAGCATCATGTGTGAGAGGCCTTGCGCAAGAAGCTGGGTGATCTCGAGGACTCGAACGTGAATCGTAGCAGGGACTTCGACACCCAAGTAACGTCGCAGAAGATGTCTGAACTCGTCGTGGCTTTGCAGTGCCAGGTTTGTTGTCTCCTGTCTTGCGGAGCCCAGGACGAACTCGATGCAGTCACCGAAGCTAAGGCCAGCGAGAACTGCCAAATCTATACATGCTTGCCCGAGTCACGCCTGTTGGCCTGCGGCTCACGACAAGTCCGAAAGTGAAGCACGCAGATGCACAGAACTATAGGAGCTTGGGAAGTAAGTAAGTAAGTAAGTAAGTATGTATGTATGTATGTATGTATGTATGTATGTATGTCTGTATTCTCGTATTTGCATGCAGCTCTTGTCCAGATAACTCTGCGTCGTTTTTGCTTTGCGTCCTTTTTGAGGGCTTGCACCGCTGGCCGTACCGAACATGTGAGTTTTCGTTGGCACACTGCGGAGAACACCTGCGCAGGTTGAGCTGGAGGAACAGGTTAACAGCCTGAAATCGGAGCTGGAGGCATCCGGACCAAAGGCTCGCGGCAACGGCAACAGCCCTTGCTGCAGGCTGCAAGAGGTGAAGACCTGAGAGCTGCACTGCAAGATCTGCAGGCTCCCTTCAATCATCTTCCAAGTCGGGTTCTCTGAAGAAGCATTCGCTCTTCTTCTCTGTTTCAGGCACGGCACGAGTCTGAGCTCTACCCTTGGCTTTTGGCAGCTTCGCTCTGTGCTTCGCAGGGTGTCATAGATTCGCAGACCGAATCGCTATTGACAGGTTGAAGAAGGCAGAGTCAGCAAAAGAAGAACTTGAGCAGGACGGGTTTTTCGGCTGCTTTTCCACCAACTGCTCTAACTGCTCTAACTGTGAGAGGCCCTCAGCTCCAAAGCGGACTTGGAGGCCGCAGACTCAGCGTGTGGTGCGCTGGTGCGCCCAAGAAGAAATTCAAAAGACGCAGCTCCCTGCGCCAGTTCCAGGCAAAAGTCGCCGCTCTGCCGCTGCCTTTTGAACGGTGTCCCCATGTGTGTCTTTCGCATACTGGTGCACTTGCCCATGAGTTTAAGTTTAAGCTGCATCGGGATCGAGGCAAGAAGCGGTGACGAGTCCTGTCGCGGCAGACGCAGCATCTGGGTGGGAATCTCACAAATAGCCGGCATAGCATTCGTCTTCGTGCTTTGCCCGGCGGGGTGGAGGTCACTTGCTGATGAGCGTGCCCGCAGCGAGAAGTTGCGACGTTGGCATGCTTGCTCCTTGGGAGTTGTGGGAGCCGGCGTGATTTTTTCATGGGAGGCTTTCGGAGGTGCGCGAGCTGACTGCCCGAAACGATGCTTTGGAGGCGGGGCCGGGGAGGAGGTTGGGGATAATTGCGTGCCGCGTAGCCAAACGTAGCCGAGCGGGCAGGAGCAGCTTGTGCCTGCCCCGGCGTGACGTCTGCGTGGGCCCGGGGCCCCGCAAAGCGGGCTTGGCTGAGCGCGCCCGAGGCCTCCAGTGCGGAAGGAGAGCGCCAGCACTCCGACCTGCGAGAGGCAGTGTAGCCTGCGCCGCGCAGCGAGTGCATCCTCGTTTAGCTGACGGGAGCGACAGATTGTCGCAGGAGCTGGAGCAAGAGCGTCAGCAGCGGCAGAGCCGGTATCTCATTAGCCGATTGCCCAAAAGCATCCGCTTTCCAGCGAAATGTCCCGTAGCCCAGGCCTTGAAACAGAACTTCAGGATCTTCGAAGGTGGAGTTAACCCTGACCGCGCTGCTTCGCCGCAGCATCCCTTGCTTCGCAGGGCCCGCGATGATCTGGACGACGCCCTGGAAAAGTCGCGTGCAGAGCGAAAGGCCGCGTAACAGGGATTCCTTGACTTTGCACTGTCACGCTCTGGTGCTGTACAGGCAGATGGGACGGAGCAAGCGGCCTAGACGGGTGGACAGGTTTAGGAGCGGTGAAGTTGGCACTGAGAAAAATCGAGGCAGACTGTGCGTAGAAAGTGTAAGAGAAGTTTGTGCAGCAGTCTTGCTGTCGAATAGTGCCAGTCAAGATTAGGAGCTTGCTAGCCAAAGCCGCTGGACGGATCCATATGCCATTGGAACAACAACGGGTCAATGCCGACCATGTGGCCAAGTGACGGAGAACACGCACTCCTCCAGAGTGGAGTCAGCATGAGATGTGAGGTGCGAGCGACTGTCCCGAGTATGCCAGGAACTGGAATCCGATCCTTGTCGATAAATTCGGAGAGTCAGAGACCGTTTACAGTATCTGATTGTGGTCGAGTGCAGCCGTCTGAGGACCGAGACATGGTCGTCCTGGCTCGTTAGTCGTCAGCTCTCTCGATTTTATCTTGCAAGAAGGCAAGTTTGCCGTTGCAGAGGCACTGGAGCGTATGCAATCTGCCGAGCGCCTTGCGGCCGCCAAGTCCGCCAACCTCGAGGCCGAAGCTTGGCCTGGCCAAGACAAGCCGAACTTGTCGGGCCGTCTGTGCGTGCAAGATGCCAGGAGATGCAGAGCGCGAGAGCCGCCGAGGTGCCGCGGTGGCCCTTCTGACAGCAAAGACAACCCTTCGCCCTTTTGACTTTCTGCGACAGGCGGCGCGCGCAGATGCTTTGGCAAAGGAGTTAGAGGCAGTGCAATGCGATGTGATGGAGCTGTCCTTCTCCCCACTTCTGCGACCGTGTTCAGAGTCGAAATGCATTTTGGATTCAAGACTGCAGTCCTATCGTCACGCAAAGGCCCTCAGTATGGGAACTTGTCAGCATGGCATGCAGAGACTTGATGAAGCCTGGCAGCCCAGCCTAGCTCACTTCCAGACTTGCATGAACACAGAGACGGACGGCTTTGACATGTGCTATGCTGGCCGCCGGGATCTTGAGAGTGCTGCGAGAAAGCAGGCCTGGAGCAATTGGAGTCTCGACGTTGTTGATCCGTATGTAGTCCTATGCGTCACTCTGTCATACGCAAAGTTGCACAGGCTGCGGTCTGGGTTCGCACGCCATGCTGCCGATCTGCGCCAAGCAGGGACTTCGGAGTTTGGATGGGCTTTGGGAGCCTTGCGATGTGCCCAGGCTGGTGCTCGCCGGTGCGGGCCCTCAGGATCCTGGCCTGCAGCTCCACAGGCCTTCGTATGTCTCTTGAGGTGGCCGGAGCAGAGCCTCATTTTCGAGCCTGTTTGGGAGCCGCAGCCGATGTGCTGCTGACATGTATCTGCGGCATTGCGCCTCGTCAACCATGGCTAGCATGGCAAGAAAGCGCCAGTGTTGTAACGAGCGACTGCCACATGTAAGCCAGGCAGTTGTCGATAATGCGATATGCGTGGCTTTGATGCATTTTGCAGTTCACCATTCACTTGACGATTCTGCAGCGCCCGATTGTTGAGATCAGGAACATGTTCGAGACCTATTTCGTCCTTCGAGAGGCCTCGTGCGCTCAAGTCGATCAGTGCAATTGCAATTAAGAAGCGCTGCTCCGGTGTGTATAGCTGTAGAGCTGTGCAGCTCGATGCATGGTGCCTCTGACCAACCTGGTACAGGCTAAGCAGCGTGTCGTCGGTGGACAAACATTTCAAGATGTTGATAGCCCGGTTCTGAGCACCCGTTTGCTTACAAGGGCAAGCAGCGCTGAGTCGCCGAGGCTTCAATTTGCGATTTATGGATCGATTCATGGTGTTCCATGCTGAGGCTCTGCTCGCTTCTGTCGCCATGCGTTGCTGCTCTGCAATCCTTTGACACGTGCAGCGCTACACGCGACGGACTGCAGCCCATTAGGCCCAAGCATAGAGAGGCTTGAGCGCTGGCTGTACACAATACTGCCAGGACCCCCATAGTCCAAAGTCTGTCCCCAGATTTGTGCCCTGTGGTGCGGTGTGCAGGATGCAGTGGGCTTTGGTGCTTTGCAGTGCACTGGCTGTGCAGGCTGAACCTGCTGTAGAGGTGCCCAGAACCAGAAGTAGACTGAACTTGGACTGCGAAGTACTTCTTTCTGCCCGAACCGTCAGGTGCACATTGTCCCCCACACACACGATGATGTGGGCTGGCTGAAAACTGTCGATGAATACTTCACGGGCCAGAACAACTCCATTCAGTCCCTTGGCGTGAGTCTTTTCAAGAGCTGCAGGATAATATAATAAAAAAATATCATATTATAGTATATCATAGTATAATATAATATGGTATAATATAGTATAATATAATGCGGAGTCCTACTTCTCAAGCGCAGCTGTCGGCTTCGTGAGGCGCGCCTATGTGCGCCTGATCCTGGACACGGTGGTTCGCTGTTTGGAGCAGAACCCGGACCGGAAGTTCACCTACGTTGAGACGGTTCTCCTGGCATTCGATTACAAGTTTCAGTTTTCCGTTTTTATCTGAGATTCATTCTTGCATGTGCCACACTTTCGGGGAACGTCAGGCCTTCTTCGCTCGATGGTGGAGGCAGCAGGATAAGTCTACCCAGCAGCTGGTGAGGCGCCTTGTCAGCTCCGGGCAGCGGCTTGACTGCACTCCCAAATTCAGGCCCGAAATTGTTCTGCGATGCCTGGTGGGTGGGCAAGGTTGGAGTTCAGCAACGGTGGCTGGTGTATGCATGATGAAGCAGCGACCCACTTCTTGGCTGCTTGCCTGGCATACAAACTTGATTGAGCTGGATGTTGGCCTGCCTTCATGCAGCAACGGCATGCTGTTTGGCCACACAGGACATGATTGACCAGACAACCTTGGGGCACAAGTTCCTCATGGAAGAGTTGGGTGCTGCTCCTCGGAATCCTGGTTGCCAAGAAGATGCTCACATTGTGTTTCTTGGTTGGGTCGACGCTTGTACTCGACAGGACTGGCTGGCAGCTGGACCCTTTTGGGCACTCGTCGACGCAAGCTGCACTCCTCTCGGCTGAAGTGGGCTTCCAAGGGCTCTTCTTCGGCCGCATCGATTACCAGGAAGGGGATGTGCTGTGCACTCGTGCTTCTCTCTCTCTCTCTGTCGGTTCCTTCGTCGTCTGTCGAACCAAGAGGACCTCGAATTGCGACGGGAGAAGAAGGAGGCAGAGTTCATCTGGCGGGCTTCTCCATCCCTCGGTGCAGATGCGCAGGTCTTCACGGGCCTCACAGGCTCCTATCCCCTGCCGTGATTCGAAGCTGGACTGCCTCGTGATGTAGCACGACCGTCCCCTTGGGCAGGCGAGTACGGAGGAAATTATGGCCCACCAGCTGGCTTTGACTGGGATGTGACTAGCACGGACGAGACAATCCAGGACGACTCTGCTGATCTCTGCAGCCGCCTCACGATGACGCACACAACGACATAACCATTGATTGCCGAGTTCGACTTTAATTGAAATCCTGAGTAGGTCCTGCGTTTTGCCCTGAGTGGTACCGCATGATCAGACTGGAGGAAGTGTGCTAACATGGTGTAACGGGCAGGCCTCGTGCTTCAGCCCAAACATAGTGAGGCATGCGCTGTGGAAGCTGCTTCGCGATGGGTCCACCAGCTAACTTGACCGTATCGGATTCAAGTGCAAGCCTTTGGATCAGTCAGGATGTAGCCAGGATTTACGTGCTTCGATGGCCATCGAAAGCACGATATCCCGATGTCCGCCTCCACATTCCCCTTATGCGCCGCAGTCCCTAGTCGCTAGTGACTTCCATTTTCTCTTGCTACACTCCCACACACGAATGTGAACATTCCTGCGCCAACAAACCAACACCATGTCGACGATAGAAGCGGCAGTTGAGCTGTGCCCGGCAAGGTGTTAACAGAAAAGAGGTTTTGTTAGGTTCCCCGTAGTTGGAGGCAACAGTCTCTGCAAGGTGTAGTTGGTGAGCAGTGCTGAAGAGCTTGTTGCACTTTGCAGGACGACCCTGCTCTGGAGGATGCCTGCTTCAAGTTACTGTGGATTTTGCGCATCCGCACGAATGCCTCGGAACCCAGTTGTCTCAAGTGCTTCGCTTAGGATTACAACGTGAAGTCGCGGGTGGACGACTTCGTGGCCGTTGCAATGGTTCAGGCAAATCAAACTCGCGGCCGTCACATCATGATGACAATGGGCTCTGATTTCCAGTACGAGGACCCGTTCAAGTCAGACCTTCCCGAAGTCGAGCAAGTCCGCGCTTCTTGGTTCGCTGAGCGCCTCCGCAGGATGCTTTCACGTGGTTCTACAACCTGGACAAGCTGATACACCATGTGAACGCGGATGGTCGTGTGCACGCGTTCTACTCGACCCCTGGAATGTATGTCGATGCCAAGAAAAGCGAAAAGATCACTTGGCCCATGAAGGCGGGAGGGAGGGACGGAGTTGTGACGGCCAGAACAGCGCATGTGATGTCCGCAGGAGGACGACTTTTTCCCTTATGCGGATGGCCCTCATCAGTTCTGGACGGGTTACTTTACGTCCCGTCCGGCACTCAAGCGATACATTCGAGACACCAGCGCGTTGTTCCAGGCCAGGACTGGCAGTGGGGCAGCGGGGGTTCTGTGGCGACATGCTGTCGGCAGGTGCTTAAGCAGATCAGTGTGATCAGCAACCAGCCGGCCTCCCAAATGGAAGGCTTGAACGCGTTGGCAGAGGCTGTGCTCGGACTGTGAGCTGCGCTTTCCGGCCCTGCTAGCCATGGTCAGCCCCAGGCCATGGGAGTTGCGCAGCATCACGATGCTGCGAGTGGAACTGCCAAGCAGCATGTGACCTTCGACTACGCCAAGCGCTTGGCCAGAGGAAGGCCGGGCCGGCGGGTCGCTACGTCACTGGGTCAAAAGCCCTACTAATTGCCGCTGTGCTTGCCGCTTGCTTGGGAGGGCGGCTGCTCTTCAAGGCGTGTCTGCGCCCTTAAAGCAGCTCACGCAAGCCCCCGCCTCTTCCGAAGCTTTGGCAGCACAGAGAGTAGCGCCACAAAATTCGAACACTTTTAAGCACGTGCACAAGCAAGGACTTCGTCTTCTGCGACCTCCGGAACGTCTCTGTCTGCGCCCCCACTCAAGCCGTCGGAAGGACCACTGAGAGGCGCGAGCCGTAGAGGCTAAGAAGAGAGAGCGGCGGGGCTTCGCGCGGAGCCACGCGTTCCGAGCGTTCTCTTCCCTGGAGGAGCTGCTTTACCCTTTGGAACGGCTTGGGCCACGCCCGGGAGGAGCGGAGAACCGGCCCTGAGCCGTAGGCTTTCAATTAAGATTGAAAAGAGTCTAAACAGTCTTAGAAGATCGAAGAGTCTTCTCAGACGCCGTTCAGGAGCTCATAGAGCTGCCCGTGAGTACGGCGAAGCTGGAAGTGGTGAGTGGCACCCGTGGTGCCCAGGCAGCTGCAGTCTTCGCGGATGACTCTTTCTCTCACGTTCGCTTCAGGGGGCCGTGGAGTTCCAGATTGTCGAGTCACTGCCCTCTGTAACGAACTACGGCGCTCCTGCAGGAGCCGAAGCACAGCACATCACAGCACATATTGGGTGCATTGCAGCATGTTCGCAGAATGGCTCACAGGAGGGGCCAGCAAGACGCTGCTGGTGGCTGTGAAGCTGCCGGCTGTCGGACACGCGAGCTACTGCCTTCAGACTGCAGGCGAGGAACAGAAACCCTTTCAGCATGTGTGGCCTGGTGTTCCGCACGTGACGTGTTCCCTTCTTGTGCGGGAGGCGTTGCAGCACCCACCGCGAAGCTCGCAAACATCTCCCAAGGAGCTTGTCAGGCACGCGGCCTCTCATGAAGACAGATAGCGATCAAGATCGAGATGTGCTTCTCGGGTTTGGCAACTCCATGCAACAAAGTCGCTCCTCGTACTGCCATCTCTCTGGCTCGCTTGTTGCTCTGTCCGGTGGATTTTGCTTCTGTCGGCCTCTCTGTTGCGTCTTTCCCCTTGCCTAGCTGCATCTTCCTTTAGCTCTCCGTTTCTCTCTCTGTCTTTCTGTCTGTGTTTCCTTGGACTCAGCCGTCCGTGACTCTGCGTCCGCTTGGAGTTTGTAGAGAAGGAGGTGCGCTTGACCTGTTTCAGGCCCTGGAGAACGAGAACCTGAAGCTTTGGTTCTGCGGTGGTGCTTCAGAGACAAAGCACATTTTCGTTGACATGTCGGCCATTTCCCATACGGGGGGCCTCTTCCCACGTTGGCACATGCAGGTATGCTGGCGAATATCACAGACAAGCTGAGCAAGACTTCTACACGTGCTGAGCAGTCGTGGATGTGGTACAAAGCTGCTTGACATCGTTTTTTACCATCCCCTTCGGGTTTACCATGTCCCTAATGCCGCAGTAATGCCTCAGGCATCCGTGGGCGACGCAGCGAGCTCTCAGGCCAGTGGTGCCTACATCTTCCGGCCCAGCCGCTCTCAGGACAGGGATGGTGGGACCGGAGCCTCGCCCTGGTACACTTGCTCTTGGAAAGGCATTTCCGGTCTTTACCGGCTTGCCCTTCATGCGCGTGTTCCGCGGTCCGCTTGCCGACGAGGTGCAGTGATCCTTGCAGCTTCCTGTGACGATGAAGGGATGGGGGGGCCTGGAAGGTGCACCAGCAGGTGGGTTCCTGGATCTCGCAGCGGACTCGCCTGGCCCGCGGTGCAAGGCATGTTGAAATTACATACACAGTGAGCTGTTTGGCTGCACAAAGAGCACACAACTCATATTATCACGAACAACTCATATCACGACTCGCACGTAATTGTGAGCGATGTGGGAGCAAAGGTAATATTCCGGTCGATGATGGCTGGGGGAAGGAGATCGTCCCAGCCTCGCTTCAAATCCTGGCCCAACAAGTCTGCCCGCCCGCCTCGATAAGGTTTCCCGCATAAGCACCGACATCAAGACTGGCGGCACCTGCTACACAGACAGCAACGGCCGGGAGATGTTGCAAAGAAAACGCGCTCCCGCTGCATGGATCATGTCTGGAAGTCTGGCAGCTGGGCGCTGGCCTGAGGAGACTTCCGGCCGACGTGGAATTTGACGCAAACCGAGGAGGTTGCAGGCTGCCGATGAGAGCTGAACGCCTTGTGGACTAGACTCTAGACGTGTTCTTGTGCTCCGACAGGAAACTACTTCCCTGTGACAACCTCCCTGTTCATCAGGCCGCGGCTGTGCGAAGTCGGAAGGGGGAAAGCTGCTTCGGGTGTTTTGTCTCAGGGACACGGCTGCCCAGCTCACGGTCCTCACGGATGTCGCCCAGGAGCTCAAGCTCGGGGGGCCAGGGTGCTGTGTTTCGTTTCATCCCCAAATCGAAGGCCGGCACCGGCTGCATACGAGATGGTGAGATCGAGCTGATGGTACACCGTCGGCTGCTGCAGGAGCTCTAGAATCTAGAAGTCTAGCGCGTCCATGCAAGCGAGCTAGCATGGGATCTCTGTGAGGATGATGGCCGTGGTGTTGGCGAGCCGTTGAATGAAACAGAGTTCGTGACCCCCTATGTTGGAGACAAGAATGATCAGGGCCGCCACTACGGAGCTGGCCTTGTTCCTTGGAATCAGAGCTTGAGCTCCGAGCGTCGGTGCACCCGGCGCGTGCTGTCTTAGGTGACCCGGGGACTGCACGTGCTCCACTTTGGGCCGCCGGCCACAGCTGCGGCCACATGGCGGCCTCTGATGGACCGCATGTACATGCCGGTGCAACCCTTCTTTGGAGGCCATTCTGCTAATGTACAGGCAAACGATGTGCGGTGTAGGTGTGCACTAGAGCCTCCGCAGCAAGCGCACGGCTTCAGGCGGCAAGGCAGCGCCAAGCGTCGGATCCTCCTCTTTGCAGGGTGACCTACCGCCAAGCTTGCAGGTAGGGAGGGTTCCGACCGGGGTTTCAGGAGGGGACGACGAGACCTGCTCTGAAGAGGTGCTCACACTGTCGCAGTGGGATGAGACGCATATTCTTCTTCGAATCGGACATCAGTTCGGGATCGGCGAGGACATTGTGCTGTTGTCGCCTCACTGCCACGGAGTAAAGCCAGTAAAGCAAGCACTTCTTCCTACAGGACTCCGAGTTGTCCAAACCGGTGTCTGTCGACATCAAGTCGCTTTTGGTAGGCTGTCCCGCTTTGAAACGTGAAGCGCATCGTGTGCTCCCTTTTCCGGCACCCCAGCGTCACTGCGGGCAGGTGCAACCGTCCTCTCCATTGAGGAGCGAGGATTGGCTGCAACTATCACCAGGGATGAAGTCGAGCACCTTATCCAAATTAAGCACCTGAATTAGAATCTCCAGTTGCCTTGCTCTCGCAGTAGGACGGTGAGATTTGTTGTGTTGAGCGTCGATGTCAGAAATCAGTTGTCCAAACATGCTGGGCATGTCCTGCTACAAGCGTCGTGCTTGATGCTTGCCAGGCAGCGTCGTATCCCTTGGCATGTGGAAGGGTCGACCCAGTCCAAACAGCGCTCCGACGTCTTCACCTTTGGTCCGCTTCAAATCAGGCTTCGTGACATGCCTCGCATGGAGCATGCGTAATGGCGTAGCGCAAGAGCTGGCAAGGACCTTCTTCGTGCAGATTGCCCACCAGAGCAAGACTATGTTCGTTTGAAGGACTGCATGTGCCGATCCATTCAACCGGGGTTTGCATCGATTGAGACAGTGCAAGAACGTGGCCCCCAATGGGTCGAGCAGGAGTGCAGCGAACCAGCGAGCTTTGAATCCCGCTGAGTCGCAGCTGGAAAAAGGGGGTGACAGGCTCCCCCGTCGGCAATTCGTAAGTTTAGGCTTCCTGGGCGCTTCGCCTGTGCCGATTGGGCCGTGAAGTTCCCGCTAGTTTAGCTCATGGGCACCAGGCCTCAGCTGAAGAAAAAGGGCTGCCATCTTCATGCCCGGCGAGCCCTTAAAAGGGTCCAAATCCCAAAGCTGGACTCGTCTTGTCCAGGTCGAGGCCTTGAGGAGGCAGCGCAGAAAAACCGGAGACCGCACGACACCTTGACCTTAGAACTGCAGGAAGTCCGGACAAGCCAGACCCGAATTGTCTTCCATGGCGGCTCGCGTTGCGTGGTTCGGCTGCCCAGTCGGACACCAACTATTTGAACCCAAATTCCCCTGTCCGCGAGGGCCAAGGAGCGGCCAACGGGCGCGCAGAGGCGTACAGAGAAGACAGTGCAGTGGCGGCTCCCGCGCTCTGAGCGAGATGTGTGCAGGTGGGACCTCCTCCCACACTACTGCCAGGCGCGGGTAGATGGGTCCAACTCGAGATGGAGACCTTTGTCCAGCTGCAGGTCCTGCAGGGTCGGAGGGCTGAACACAGCGGCCGTGGCTGGCTTCAGGCGAAACACTGGGTGCTTTCGGTATGTTTGGTATTACAGAAAGCTTGAGGTGTCCGTTTGTTTATGCGGAAGTATCCCAGGCCTGAACAGACATCAGACTCATAGACGCTACCACGATTCTGAGTTTCTTATTCCAGCAAATCGCAAGCATGCGCCTCCACAGAGAAAGGAAGCAACTTGTCGAGACATGACACCTTGGGCAGTTTGACCGATAAATCAGGCTCTTGGGCTCAAGTTTTCGGCGTGCTAGTGCCGCAGTCAATTTCAGGTCCAGGCCTCATGTCACACTGGGTTTCGTTGAGAACCCAGCCGTTACGAGTCGGAGTCGGGTTCTCTTTGGGGTCTTTGGGTCAGTTTCGCTCTCCTGGAGGTGACGACCCGTCTTGCGGCAGAGGAACCGCGGCAAGTCTGCATTGTGAGATTCACAGCAGCTTTTCCCGTAAAGCATACAGGAAACTTGGACCTCGAAAGGGAGGTCCGATCAATCTCCTCGGGCACGGACCTCAGAGACAGATGGGGAGCTCTCGGCATCGGGGCTCAGCCCAGATCCGCGAGCACTTCGTGGTCTTCGAGCTGCCTCGTGAAACGAGCGGGGTCGCAGAGGACCGTCTGCAGTACTCTTGAAGCATTCGAAGAGTGCTACAAAAAACCCTGCTGGGCTGGCAGGACTTCCGAATAGCTGCGGTGAAACCTGGTGTGCCGGCAGAGTCGACTTGAGCAGAAAGAGCCGTATACTTGACTTGCCTTTGCCTGCCAACTCCAAGAGAGAACAGCTTTGGCGGTTTTGCTCATGGCTTTTTCTGCTCCGCAGGTGCAGAGTGCGAAGCTGGCTCAGCTGCAGGCCCCCCCCCATGGCACTCCGTCGCGGTCTTGTCTCTCCGGCCCAATTGCCCAAAACCAGGCCGAGCTCCAAAAGAGCACTCAGGCCAGCTGCGCCTTCCTTTCTAACCCTCTTCTGCAGCTAACTTCTACGAAGATGACCAGGCACACGTTGAAGAGCAACGGAAGGCTTCCGACTTGCAGGTCTGCTTGGGCATGGCTTGGCTAGCGCCCATGCGTTTGACTTACCCCGCACTGCTGACATGAGCATGTTGCTCAGTAGCTCAGCAGGTCTCGATTAGCGCCACAGCAAAGCTTCTGGTAGTGCAGTTAAGCAAGCTTCTCTGAAGCTCTGGCCACCCTTGTCATGCTGCTGGCCAAGCATGTCTTCGCCCGACAATTTTGCTAATTCAGCACAGAATAGCACAGATTCGCGACCCTCTGCTGACATTGCTCAAGACTGTCGCAGCAGGAACATGGCCAAATCGAAGATTCGACAACTTCCCAAGTGCAGCGAGATGTCAAAGTGTTGCATGAATAGGAGCAGCTCTGTGTGTGTGTGCGCGTTAAGATGGAGTTATTGTAGCAAATGGATCGTGAAGAAGCATCCAAATCCCCATAGCCGTAGCTCCACAAAGAGCAGAACGCGTTACGTACCCAAGCTTTGCAGCCGGAGTGCGGTAGCCTTGGCTGCCTTGGTGGATGTCGATTCCAGGCGAGAGTTCCTGAGTTCATGCATCTCAGGTCCGCCTGCGATGGTCCGCTACAGGATCGGTCTGGGAGGGCAGTGGGGGGCGAATGCTTTCACGCTTCGAGCCCACGCCATTTTGCGCCCAGTGACGAGCTTTCTGCAATCTGATCGACCACGCGTCGTATCTGATAGCCCGAGAGATGCGTGGAGCTCGTGTCGGCTGTGCACTCCGCAGCTCTGGCTCAAAGTTTTTTTGCCGTTGCTCCGAACATAGAACGGAGGCAGGCTCGTGATCTTCTTTGAGGTTGCAGCATGTTGTGTAATGTGGCTTGTATTGCCGTGCTGCACCGTGTTCCAAGTGCCCTGGCCGCAGGCTGGTTACCTCATCTGCTGCACCGCAAGCGTGTAGTGGAGCAGGGACTGGGCAGCGATGGCATCAGGCACACCGGGTGCTGTGGTTGCAGTCTCGAATCATTCAAGTTTCAGGCTATGCATGCTGTGGGCATTTCACTGCGAGCAGGCTGTGTTGACTGTGTTGTGGAGGCCTCCGCTAGGAGCCCCATGGAGCCCCCCTCCCTTTGAAAGCGTTGGCCGACTCCCCATGTCTCGGTTGAAGGTCTCCGCACTCAAAGGTTGGTAAGATAAAGAGTTGGCGTTGACTCGGGTGAGTGGAAAAATGCCAAGAGCAGCCTGGACAGAACAATTCAATCATCTCGAAGAACTCGGAGGAACACCTGGCTTTGGAGAGCGTAAGGGCCGGCAGGATTTCCGCTATGACACTCGGGGACCTCAAGAGTTGGAGAGCAGGCACGACTTAGACTTAGGGTGTCGGAATAGCGGGATCCATCGTGTGTGAAATCAGCTTCACAGCTGAAACAGTGTACGGGCGCATGTAACGACAACTGAGTCATGAGACCTGTCGCTATGCCGCAGGCATGCATGCAGCCGCTGTAGGACCGGACCTTCTGGCCTCCTTGCTATTTGTGCTGCTGCTGTTTTCGAGGACAGCTCGGACCTTGCAGGTCCACAAGGTCAGGCGCCGATGTAGTGGGGCTCGATGCGTGCGGTGGCCCAGAGACTCGTTCGGCAGCATGACACGGATGCCAACTCTATCCTTGGGCATTTTGGCTCCAAACAGCAGCCTGGCAACCTGTAGCCCGTGGTGCCTTCCCACAGTCGCCGGCCAACGACGCTTGACGTCAAGACAGAAACTCCTGAAGACTGATTGCGATTTGCACGACTGCGTTCTGCTTTCCGATGCGACATTTGGAAAGCATGACTGTAACCCATTGTGCCCATCGGCACAAGTCATTTGGCGGTGTTCGCTTGTCTGCTCTCACTTTCCCACTGATCTCGCACCATCTAAAGAAAATTCGCAAATATGTGAGATGTGATGGAATCTGAGACAGAATTTTCTACAGCACCACGACAACCATGTTCGAAAGTTTCATGTGGGAGCTGATTGAGCATGGTGTGCACAGCAAAGAACTAACAAGCAATGTTTGCTCTGTGTGGGTTCCGGATGAAGGATGATGAAGGATCGAAAAGCATTATGCACACAGCATCATCATTCGGCACAGCAGCCCAGGTAAACGCGAAACCAGTCACCCCTTCCGCCATGCCAATGTGCACAAGCTTGGCTTGTACTGCCTAAGTAATTCAAGCCACAATTATTGCTTGGCTTTGCTGACGAGGATTATCCGCTTGGTCCGACAGAAAATGGAACCAGTGGCTGAGTTGCACGTGGGTAACGCGATTCCCTTGTGCCTGGCCTGCAGATCAGCTCGTTCGGAAGGTTCATTTGTGAGCGGCCAAGGTCACGCCGACTGTGTCGCGAAGAAAGACCGCCGAGGATGCGTCGCGGCAGATGTTCGACAAGCGGGAGCTGCGAAAGCGCGACCTGGCGAGCGCATGGCGATAGCAGTGTGAAGAACTTCAAGAGGTAGATAGATGTCCGGGCTTATAGCCTATGATCTTCACAGAGACAAGAGGGGGTAAACATCCATGGCACGCCGGCTACGAATTCGGTTCTTTTAGCACACACGACATGTCTGCTTCAGCTGACTTCTGCCGAGAAGGGCAATCTTGCGACCTGCATGTATCTTAGATACGCACTGCCTTGCAAGACTGCGACATGTCTGAGCCATAGCACTTGATCCATGGCCAACAGTTCACAACCTTCAACACTCCTCCTTGATTGGCACAACAAGTTGTACCAATCACACGTCAAAGGTTCTCGAAAACAAGGTTCGTAGTGCCAGGGCTGCTCCACAGCCCTGCATGCATCACCCTTTGTTCACACTGAGGATCCTAGGCCATCTCAATACGATCTCGAAGGCTGTAAGGATCGACTCCGACGCGTGTACAGCGGGGTGTTACGTTGGCAGTACGCACAGTACTCAACCGCATATACATCACCGGAGTTCCGAAGTCCATGACAATGGGGATCTGTGTGCATCTTTGACCTCGGCGAGTTCGTCTTGTAGAACCCCTTGTTCGGCATCAACTCATACTCAGACTCCTGCAACTGAACTCTTGGTTCTGGACTCGGATCCACGATATGCTTAGGCGGCCGGACACGTGGTACAGGATGAGGTTCAGGAGGGTCGAAGGCCTCTACTTCATCTGGTTTCGTGGCGAAAGCCCTGTCAACCTCTTCTTCAACCGCAAGCCTCGCCGTTTCACGCAGCCTTCTGAGCTTTCTCTGCTTGGGAGTCTCCTTAAAGAACTTGACCATGCATCTCAGCAGCCACTTAGCCACTTCCCACAACGCCACAGCAGCAATGCACACCAGTACAGTTACCAGCATCAACTCATCGACACCAATTGACTGCAGCCTTCTGGTCTCAGCATGCTCCTCCTCAGCGCCAGCGGGGTTCATCATCAAAGCTAGCACCAATAAAGCCATGTAAGCGCTCTTGGCCTCCAAAGCCTCGACAGCTTCATACGGAAGATTCTTGAAGCCCCACAACGTTAGCAGTTCCCAGAGTCTCATCTTAGGATGCATCTTCGTAGCGAGGTCTGCGATTTGAAGGTCTCCCGTAATGTGCTCCACGTCGAGCTCCTTGGACTCCACTTGGCTCCGGATCTTCGCGCTTCGCACCTTCAGGTGGCGCGTTCTCCAGCTTCCTTGCCCCCCTTGTATCATTGCCAGAGCCGACGAGTTGTCCACTCTCAACAGGCGATGTACCCTTCTTGCAACCACCTCATCCAGAATGCTGCCCACGCTCTCCATTAAGACAACGGCATTCGTGGCCTCGTAGAGCTCAGCCTCCATCACCGACAGCGTCACGAAGCTCTGCTTTGAGGCCTTCCATGCCACGGGGCTGTTCAGGACGGTGACCACGCTAGCCCCAAAGGACTTCTCCCCAAAAGGAGTATCCGATCATAGAAACCTCTCTCGCGACATCATCCTTGTTGGGACCTAGCACTAGCTTCATCTCAACCGTGGACTTCAAGTAGGCTAAAAGCTTCCTTGCTATCTGCGCCACACGAACTGGCTGACGGGAAACTCGAGCTGCCATATAGCCCACCGGGAACTGCAAGTCTGGTCTTGTTCTCATCGTCAACCACAACTGCTCTCCCACTGCCTTCTGAGCAAACCTAAGTTCCTCAGCGGAGTAGTTTTCTTCTTGTTCATCATGTCCGTCTGACACCCACTCCTTCGGGCATGGGAGGCGGGTGGCCGCCACATCATCCATTCCATGACTGCGTAGGAGCTCCCGTATGTACCCTTCTTGCGACACAAGAAACTGGAAGTCCTGGTTCTGGTAAATCTCCATCCCAAGGTATCTTGTACCCGCTGGGTCCCGAGTCCACTCCAACGACGAGCAGGGCCATTCCAACTCAATCCATGCGTGGATTGCGACAATCAAAGAATCAACCGCCAGGTAGAGGAGATCATCTACGTAGGTTACGAGTAGTCCTAGTAGCGTTCCTTCTGATCTCACCTTGTCCTCTGCGTCGTAAATGAGCCAAAGGTCATCATCCGCCTCGCTCGGCTTTAACACCACCACGCGTCCCTCCCAGGGAATCTTTGCAGATGCCAAACGGGACGACCGGCACTTACTCCAGATTGAGGGTGATTCTCGCAATCCGTACAGGGGCCTCAACACTTCCCATGTCTGATCTGCTCGGATGAAGCCTGCTTCTACCAACACCCGTGGTGGGAATATTGCATACCGGGCTAGCTCCTCTGGCCAACTCGCCTGCAAAAAGGCTGCAGTGATGTCTGCTGTTGCTCCCGACCATCTCCTTTCAGCCGCAAGTGTGAGGGCCAAGCGAACCGTCTCTGCAGATACACCTCCGGCGTATAGATCAAAAGCTTGATCATCTCGAGCAGCAAAATTTCCGCACAGCACAAGGCGAAAGCGACGTCTGGCCTTGTCCCCCTTGGTAGTGGGCGGCTTCAATGTGCATACGGCCTTGGAGGGCACTAGCCTAAGCTTGCCTTGCCGTTCCAGATCCCGGGCAGTCGCCGCTGACATCGGCCTCAAAGTGCCGTCCAGGAGCTGGTTCAGCTCCTTTTTTATTGCATCCATCCACTTGGGAAGGGCAGCACGAACTTGCTCCATTGGCACCGTATGTACAACTTCCAGATCACCGCTCATGGTTTCCAGCATGCACTCGTAGTCAATGTCGTCCTGGGCCACCGCTGCAGCTCGCAAACAACTTTGATCCTGTTGACTCCGCACATTTGCCTTATGCTTGCTCAAGTCCTCGATCATGTCCTCCAAGATGGCCCGCACATTTTCCACCTCGTCGGCCACGAGCGTGCCCGCTCTTCGACATTCCTCCGCTAAGGCATCCTCCTCCTCAAGTAGTAGTCGAAGTCGCGAAGATCTTTCTTCCATGTCCTCAATCAACTGTTCTTGATCTTCGGTTAAAGCCAGTAGAGCCTCGTCCAGGGCTTCAGGTTCATCAGCTGGCAAGGATTGTAGTAAATGAAGTTCAACACTTTGTTGCTCCTCAGTCATCAACCCTGCAACTTGAGGACCTGCATTCTCCCCCTTGGTCAAGGACTCGATGGGAAATCCAGCAAACTCCATATGATCTCGGTCCTTGTAGTGCAGGTGTGAGGGCCTTGGACTGTAAAGCACCATAACAATGCGATCTCCTTCCCAGGATTGAACACCATGCCATTTTCGAGGGTTGAAATAGAAGGATTGGCCAACGGCCAAATCATGAACGACACCCTTCCTTGACATCTTCTTGGACACCTGGTTCCAAACTGCCTCCCGGGGGGAAATATCATCATCTTCCAGCCAAAGTCCACCTCCCGAATCCGGTTTCTTCAGCATCACCAAAGCATTCTCTGTCTCGGTGTCATTGTGCGAGTCCTTGTGATATCCCATATCAACGTTTTCCAAGACTCCCACAGCCGAAAACTCGTGCCCGTCACACAGTCTTTTCCCCGCCTCGACCAGGAACCTCGTGCTCCACTTCATCCGCCGAGTGTTCTCTCGCAGACCAGCAACTCCCCCATGAACAAACATTCCAGTAGTCCACGAACACCCCTTCTGTTTGGCTCTTCCGCTCTTGTGCTTCAGCTTGATGGCCTTGAGAAGGTGAAAGAGCTGCAAGACATTGGCAATCTCATACCTTCCTTGTCTACATAGAGCTCGCGCCAAGTTCTCTGCCTGCTCCTCCTCACAGCTCAACGGGTGATCCATAGCCATAGAGGCCAAGCGTGCCTTTCCCCGTAGTCTTCGTTCTGGTAGAGGAAGCTCTATTTGTCGCGGCACCATGTCAACCAAAGCGTCAGCATCAATCAGATCCTTCTTCATGTGCTGGGTCGTAACAAAGGTGTTGTCCTCGAACTTCACCACATGACCATGAGCCACATCCTCAGAGGGTCCTACATACAGCCCTTGTCGCCACTTGTTCTCCATGTCATACCTTTCGGCACGGCCGTAAATCTTTGTGCGGACAAAGACTGGGCAGCCAAACTGTGGAAGGTCCTCGGTCTTGCCTAGCACTCGGTGTCGCTGCCGGTAGGTGGCGTAGCGCATGGCCAGAGGCCAATTCTCCGGACCCATCTTAGCCGCTGTCAAAAGGCACT